TGTTCAATCAGCTTCTCGGCATGTGGGTGGGCTGTCCAATTATACCATACAGGAAATCACAGAGAGCCGCTCAGTAATTAGTTCTTGATAATTAAAAATGGTGGAAGGCGTCCAATATGCTTTTGATTGATTCAATTATCAACTCTTTCTGACGTTCAGCTGTACGTAAGAGTTACTGTACCCCGGATTTCACATAGGCTTCATTCACATGCAATGTCTATTTTCTAAATTCTATTTTCTATTCGCGGTATGTCTTATGATCACGGTCTGTGCCCTGAATATCCCGCGGCGTAATTACTGGCAGCGCGAGCCAGTTACTATAAGTTACTATAAGTAACTGGCTCGCGCTGCCAGTAATTACGCGGCGGGATATTCAGGGCACAGACCGTGATCATAAGATAGCGCGAATAGAAAATAGATTTTTAGAAAATAGACATTCCATGTGAACGAAGCCCTAGACATTTCATTTCTTCCATGGTTTTGGCGATCTCAAGCATACTGGTGTGAACATATCGCTAAATCGTCACTTCAGTTTATTCCACCTGATCAGTTAAGTTAAAGAGTGAACCCCATGGTACCCAGGGTACGACTAACGTGCCATGGTGAGAGATAAACACCTATACGTCTAGAAATATTAGTTCATTAGTCCAAGCCCATCGCCATTATAAGACCAGCAGGGAAGTCGTAATAATAGACTGGAATGGCAAATAGAGGTTAAATGTTGGGGGCTGAAATGAAGTGATAGATTTGAATGGTATTGGATTATAGCGTATATTTAGACCCCAGGTTGTCAGATCTCGCCTCCACTCGAAGTATCCGCCTAGAGAGTTCAGCAGCAATCATTATCATTTTGACAAGTAAAGTAACGAGAACAACAACAACAACAAAACTAAAGAAAATAAATAATAAATAAAGGCAAGCGAGAGGGAGAGAGAGATAGTCTCTACTTTAATCGAGAAATGACGCAAGATGATCCAAAAGTGGTCGCAGTGCAAAGCTGCCTACAAAACAAAATGTCAAATGTTCAACTGGTATTGGACTCAAATTAAAATGTATGTAATGGGTCACTGGGGACCATTAAGTATTTTATTGGTAGCTTCCGTGTTTTAAACAACATGGCCAATTTTCATATTTGCATGAAATGAACAATGATGGTCGCTGTTCTATGCACTGTACAATACAGGAAATCTCTCGCCAGAATTTCACCGACAACTGTTTGAAAAATGAAGGAACCATTAGTAATCCTTTTGCATTTGGAATGGATTTATCCTATTGCATGGTCTCTCTTAAAATGAGTAGTGGAGAATACCTGAGTAGATTTCTGAATGAACATCTAATTCCATTACCTTCACACTGCAGCTGGCACAAGGTGAAGATAATAAAAGGCAATAATGACGTGAACAGCGTTCAAATACCAAACTGTCAAAAAGAGAAAGGTTTCTTGGAAAGTATGTCGAGCTTTGGAACTTGGTTAAGACTTTCATATCACATAGCGTCCGGTGTCTCATGGGGGCTGGCTCTCGGCGTGTTTTAGGATGACCTTGCTTGCAATGAGCCGCCTACCTCACATGATGGACGCCTGCTGCGGCCTCTTTCTTGGGAATTCATACCTGTATTATTATTCTGATCACGCATGTTGAAGGCAGAGCTTTAAAGAAAGTGACGATTTGATAAAATCAAAAATGGAATTTATGCTCGTGAATTAATGAATTATTTCAGTATAATCTACGCTTCGTTTGTATTAAAGCTACAACATTCTATATACTTGAAGTATGGGCTGCAGTTCCATTTGAAATGGGAATTATGGGCTTGTTAACTTACAGTAGCATTAGAGTCTTCCATATAATACAAGGATCCATCTTATTGGTTGATGTTATTGTAGTTTTTGTCTTATTATTAATTTTTTTTTGTTTGTTTGTTTTATTGCATTTTAAGAAAGCGATACTGGAGGTTTGCTATACTATGAACTGTTGCTTTAAGTGCCATATAGCATGTAAGGCCGAACATTAACAAAGTAATTTTGCTGAGATCGACCTTTCACCAGACTAATTGAAGCATTCTGGTGTTTAACGATCAACAGTTATTTTTCATAAAGAAAATTCTTGTTTGGCGGTACCTTGGGAGATGGAAAACCGTCATCAAAGGCAAGGGACCAGTAAAGACACGTGCCACACGCCAAGTAGCAGAAATCAGATGTATTTGAAAGTACCATGAATAAGAAACACATAATGTTCTATGAAGGTTGATCAGCATGCGTCTGTATGTACTATTCGACGAGGAGTTATCTTGGCACTGACAACCTCATTAACACTACCTACGATTCCCAATACCTGTGTGTGTGTGTGTGTGTGTGTGTGTGTGTGAGAGAGATAATATACAAAAATCTGTGTAAAACTGTAATGTGTCACTAATGAGAGAGAGAGAGAGAGAGAGAGAGAGAGAGAACCTTTCGTGCAGGCAATAAACATCTCCGATGATCTGAATTCGGAATTTGCATGCCACAATTCATTATGATTTCCAGGTCAATAAATGTCGTTTGAATTATGACTGCGTACATTGCCGTTCTGCGTTTAAATGGGTAACATTGATTCTAGACAGTTCTGGGGGTGTGGCCACGTGGTTTTTAGAAGGTATACTTCACCACTCAACTGCAGAGAAAAAAAGGTCTTTCTTTATTGGAATTCAATAGTGCCATATTCCAATCCAAAGTTTATTTTGTAAATCTATTTGTCGGGATCACATATACACATACAATTGTTCACAGAGAATGCAGTCCTCATATGGTATATTTATATTTGTAGAAGTGTATGTATGTGAAACCTGTGTGCGCCAGTGGGCGTGCGCTTGTTTGAATCAACATGTATGTGTGTGCAGTACATGTACATTATTATAATTAGATGTATCATACATTCAAGGGAGACGATCACTGTAGATGGTAGGCGGCAATATCACCATAGAGTTCGTGAAGTTGAATTTCTTGCGGTTTGTAGATATAGGTATCCTCTTTCCTGGAAAGTCAATTAGAAAATGTGATGTGATCCATTCAGTTTGATGTTGAGGATATTCATGTGAAGTTTATATAGCCTATTTTGATAAAGTTAATGTACAACTGAAAAACTAGCACACAATCAAAGACGAACACGTTTTATTTGCCTTAGAAACAACCCAGCACATTGAAGAAAGTGATTATGGAAATAAGGTTTTGTACATTGAAATGTATGAAATCTAATTATTTCTATGAAATTGTCAAATTGGATAAAAAAATCCGAAAACAAAAAATAAAAGCACTATAATAAATCAATGCTTGGGTTCACGGGGTTTTATTAATAGATACATTATGGATATGGTGTAAGAGGACAGATGTGCAGATCCCAGATTGAGTTGGTACTTTGCATGATGTCTGGAGTCGCAAGGCACTGACGTTGTTGGCACTTGTTGCCATTGATTGCCAACGCCGCACAGGGAGATGATCTGGCGTCTTCTTCTAGGCGGAATTCTATCTTTATATGATGGGAGGATGCAAGGTAAATGCCTTCCAGTGGGCCCGGAGAGGACGGTTGTTGGGAACAGGGTTATGTGCTTGCCATGTGTTTCGCAGAGTCATTCATCAAAGCTTTAGTCCTACAAGCGAGCTTCCTATCTTTCCCACGGATATTCACACACGCACTAGCTCGCGCACGCACGTGCGCCACACAGCAAGCGTTTTTCTGCTATGTGTGAAATGCACACTCTGTTTACTGCGGTTGAAACAACTGAAATCCCTGATCCAACTGACGCCCCCCACCCCCTTCGTACGCTACGAAATTCAGATGTGTTTGGCACAATAAAAATAAGCAATAAGCAAATGAACTTCAAACTTTACTGAATCGTCAATAATACTCATCAATTTCTATTGAATGAGATTCCTGATATTTGACTCATTGGTCCCGTTCAGAATAGAGGACTAACTAGTCCGACGGTCAAATATGGCGACCTACATTGTACTACAAAGCTAAGTCTAATCCGCTAATAGACACTGAATAGATATCCCATGGGGAAGTATTAAAGCCATATTTGACCCACGGACTAGTTAGTCCCCTATTCTGAATTGGGGCCATTCAGAATAGATGATCCGAGCATTAACTGATTCGCCGACTAAATATGGCCGACCCCCTTCAAAAGCCATGCTACTAATTCCATGATGGTCTCCCCGCCTCCATACGCGCCGTCGCTGGAGGGCCTAGCAATTAAACCTCGGAGCCGAGATTTAGTCTGTTTAATGGCGTTTGTGGAGGCGGGGAAACCATCGGGAATCGGCGGCATCGCTTTTGAAGTGTGGTAGGCCATATCTAGTCGGCGGATCAGTTAGTGCTCGGATCATCTATTCTAAATGGTCCCAATGAGGCCCATGTTTACTACAGTAACACGGGGCAGGACAGTGGACCCGGGGGACCTAGGCAACATATCGCCGTGATGTTATCAACAGGAACGCGCGCGGCATTCTTAGACTTTTGTCTGATTAGTGAAGTAATTGAAGACATTTGCATTTTGGATAGAGAGTGATCAGATTGGCGGCTATTTTTACCAGCAACAGTTTCCTTGTCATATGCTGGTGTTCATGGTCGCAATGTCATAAGATCTTTGTCACAACCAAGCAAAGACCCTAAATAATTTTTCATAATTTTTTTTTTACAAATTAATGTAATGTGTATAAACATGTTTGCATAAACTAATAGAGAAAGAGAGACTGTAAACTGTAATTTGCACACATTTTAGTGCTCAATAAAGTATTATATTGTTATTAGTCTTCTTTCAGCAGAACAGCAGCGACTGGCAATGTACTTGTAATGTCGGGTATCTTCTCTACAATTTTATTTTCTCGTGTCTTCATTAAATAATTGATCACCTTGAGCCGGAGCCGCGAGCTCACAACCCCTTGTTTAGAAGGGAAAGTGATTCTACAACCTTCATTAACCGCAGAATAGCGATCATGATGACATTTACTAGTCTTCGGACGCTTGTCGATTATGTGCAAGCTATAACGTCCTGCTTCCCTTCCATTATCTTGGTTTTGTTCAGGCATTATTACAGCGGGGAGAGATGTAAAGGGCCGACTGTTCTATATTAGATTAAATTCCCCATCCTAACAACCTGCTTGACGCCGCAAGGTTTCACTGAATTGTTTTGACGTTTTGAACGTGGTTCGTCGATCGATGCGTGGGCATCCCTCTGTTTATGTGTTCTGCCAGAACTGGATGTGGAGTACAAGAGGACGCAATCAAAACTAATGGAGGACAGATTGTCTCCTATCGTTTAATCCGGTTTCAGCGAGATACACTGGATAGAGTGACACATATGGGGCGTCGCCATGGCAACGTCACCAGACGCAATGTTACCGAGTCATCCATGTGACATAACATAGGCAGCGGATGAACAACAAGGGTTGATTTAACAACAGACGGCGAACACCACGCTTCCACCTTGAGATGTGGGAAACACGACCTGAGATCCGTGACATAAGGTGACTGAAAGTACTACCAATAACGATCTGATGAACGCCAAATGGGACCTTAGGAGAAGAAACTACAGTACACTGTGAAATTGACAGGCCCCGTAGTGCTTACTAACAGGTGAGTACGAGCCTCGCTGCTGGACGCCCGGCTTGTTCATTGTTGTGTTAATAAGGCAACAGAACAGTTTCAGTTGCCCTGCCTCAGAACATCACAGAGCAAGAGACGGCAGTTTAGTTAAGACAACTGTAAATATGCACGGAAGTTTTGTAGAATAACTGTGTTTCGAGTTTACTGTTGGTGTACCGCAACCCTAGTCTGCATCGTTATATCAGTCAATTATATCAAAATTGCAGTAATTGCAACGAAGTCATACAAATCATTTTCCAAATTTCTTCATTACACATGTATATATAATTAATAACATTGTGAACTGTTATTGCACATTGACGTCAAGGGTGGCATTCAAATGGCAGATATATACTTTATTACTGTCATAATGGGTACACTAACGGGGCCACCACTGGAAACCAGGCGTCCCAAGAGTCCACCTCGCCACGTTAATACAATAAACTGAAAGCATTAGTCCTCTACTTTACATTGGCCGTTGGCAGCGCAAGCATGTTCCCCTGATATTCCAAAAAGCATTTGTTCATTTTCTGAACGCGTTTGTTCTCTTCAGCTGAGTGATGCCTGGTTGCTTTTGAAGATATCCCGAGAAATCACGGCATATACATCAGCTATATTAAACCCGATGGAGTCATAAACACGTATACAGATAATGTACATCATATATCTCTAATGCATCATTCTGTCTGAGACTCCATACGTCATCTGTATAATGTAGGCCACATACCCTGCTCCATGGTACGCTATAGAGTTTGAGAAGGATTCTGGATGTTGTACCGAAAAATTCACCATACATGAACCTCCCACGTCTCCAAAGACCTGTTCTTCTTACTCACCTTCACCATGGCAAGCACGGAACTTAGAAATACATTGTGAATAGGCTTATACAATTTTAAGATCGCGTTTTCTAATTTAGGCTAATGACTTTTGAACGGTGCTTTCACTTTACGTAAAATGCACTTTTGGGCTAGATTTTACAATTGAATTATTCAATAAGGAACAAATGCCTTGGGAGCAAAACACAGGATATCTAAAAAATGTATGGAGGTTTAAGGCAATATAAAATGACTGGCTTTTAGGAGTGGTTATCCAGTCGCCCTAATATGATTGTCGGCAATCTATGCTACGATCTGATCACTCCTCAGGATTTCAGGTTAAAACTTAGCTGATGTGCATTTGGTTAAACGGTTTTTCAGTGGAATGATTAACCTTCATCTTAAATCGAGAATTCCCGGTTAGTAAGTTCCGCCCCCGAGGCGTCTTGTTCCTAGACACCTCTGGTTATGGACACATTACAGTGCTCTAGAGAGGCAGGGATCAGGCAGGGACGGCTCCATAACAGAAATCTATGAAGAAATAAAGTTTCAATAAGCTTATCAGGATTCCATGTTTGCAAAAAATGGCACAGTATCTTTGGTTTTAAAAAAGAAGTGGTGGATATGTGAGACGTTCAGTTTGCAAACATCAAAGACCAACGTGACATTTCAAGCTGTTAGATATCACACACATTGTCCCACTGAACATGGCATAAAGTGGATATAGTCGTGTAGTTTATCGCCGATTATTTCTCCACTGTGGACCCGTTTCTAGACATCAATAATGATATTTGTCCGCTGTATGAAAATGTTGTATGCTCCATGGGTCCGTAGAAGGCAATGAGTCGTAAGGAGCACAGGAGAGTTAAGGTACACGACACCTGACCGTGGAACCGACGCTAGGAAGAAGACTTTGAAAAGACGACACAATTCATAGCACCGACCCAACAGCATGGTTCTGAACTTTCAGTAAAAAGTTACTGCTCAAAAACATTTAGGTTCATTACATTAAGTTGTCATTATTTTCCGATGGAATTTGGTGATTGCTCTTAATGAAAATAACATTGCTCTTTCCTAACTTATGATTTTTTTTTTTGTTAAAGATGAAATATTTATGCATCCACAAATACCAAGAAATCACCCATTACTGCATTGTTGATATTTTGACTTGGTAATGTGCCGCGGCAAGCGCCTCAACACGATAATCATGCCATTACAAAGTCTATTTAACCTTAACAGAAAAAACTTACATACTTATTATTAGCGAAAAAATGTTTTTTTGGAATTCGCTCAACCTTTTACCTCATTGGCGGAAACAAGGAATCGTGAAGGAGGGCAACTCCTGCTGTAATGTTTCCACTTGGGAAGAATAATAACGGACACGTTCTTAATACGCTGTTTTAATTTGGTAGACGGAGAGGATGGGTCCCTGCTCACCCTCTTCCGGACCCGCCTAAGCACACTGTACAAAGAGCACGTGCTACAAGTGAAGTGGACGTCTTACATGTTTAACAAATGACACAGAGAGAGAAAGACATATTAACTTGGAGCGGTTCATAATATCATGGCACATTAGAAGCTGCCGGTTAAGTTATTAGGTAGAGGATATTGATTTTACTTTCGTGTTTACCGATCAAGAGACTTCAGTTTTATTGGATATAATAGCATATGTAGCAGACGACCCTATTAACCGACAGAGCGCACGAGATAACATTCTAAGGCAGGCCTAAGGCTGCTCTAATAGGCCGGACTAAAGAACGTGGTATAGTGCACATACCATGGCATACCATGATACAAAAACTTGATAAACAAAGTGGTCTTTTACACATATCTTGAGTGTTTTGCTGAAATGTGTTTGTTTTTTTTAAATGTTAAAATATTAGGAATTAGACAAAGCTGCGTGGACGTTGCAGATCACGCGTTATGTGACCTCCGTCCAGTACGTACCACACAAATACTTTTTTTTTTTTTTTCAGACAAATTGAAGTTTGCAGACCATGTGACGGAGTGGTCTTTTGCCAGGCTTCCAAGACGGCTGCCACATTAGGGTGGGTTCCTTGTTCGCAAACGACAAGAATGTTTTTATGGCGACACTTTGTCTTAAATACACAAATGAAACATTGGTACCGACGTATATCAGTGTGATAATTGGTTCTGGGTTGTCCTTTCCAAATCATCTTCCCCAAGTCTCTGATATTGAATTGCTGACGGTTCAAAGGCACTGTGATGATATCATGTAGAGGTCAAAGGTACCTATATTCAACTCTCCTCAAATACCCTAGGGTATTGTCCCAACGTGCAAACAAAAGGTCCTCTCACAGTGTAACTATCGTACTAAATAGTTCCAACCCACTCCGCGGGGAGTCTCGTTGAAGGCAATCAGATCCACTGAATGACATGCCTCCCCCTGGCGTTGCGTAGGATTCAGAAAAGCGGGTAATTATATGAGTACGTTAGTAACAGGAGGAGGCGTGTTAATCTGATTGCATTCTGCGAAAATCCTCTCAGACCAAGATAGTTTCATTGAGAACGCACCTTTTAGTGTGTGAAGCACGGGAGATATTCATTGAGATTAATGAAATGTGAATGCAGAGTGATAAGTGACGGTTAAATAACATAACCCTTTGGTGGCAAATTCTGGAAATCGCTCCTACTCCGGGATATATATGTACACTGTTTATTCCACTTATAAGAAAGCATATTTTAATGAATTTGAATGTATGTATATAAACGAGACATGCCAGCGCTAAAATACGAACAAAACATCAAATAGTTATAAGGTATTGCCACCGTTCAAAACCAGCCGTTGCACTTACTGCAAACGCTTGAGCGGAGACGGGTTTGGTTCACCCCGTTGTACGTAGATGGACCAAGTTTTCTGTTCTACAAATGTTCAACACAGATATTGCTGGATTTTGTTCTTGATTGCGGGCACTCTATACGGGACTCAACAGCCAGAATTAATTTCCTCGGGGGAAAAAGCAATTTTCTCTTACTCACGAATCTTTAGTTCTAAACAACTGGCCAGTCTTAATTGGAAAGGATGGGTAGCTTTGCAGGATATGTAGACTGTAAACATAGAAATTTTGACGTTGGAGAAATTTCAAACGCGGACAGTATACCTTTAAGTCTTCATATGTCCACCCACTGATTTACTACAGACGACCATTTTGTTCCAATACAATGTAATTATATCTATACGGTCACTTGGGTAATTGATTCCCGACCCTTACTAAAATATTTCCAATAGGATATTTTGGAAAACTTATGGGAAATAGGCTGTATGAATAGTTTTTTTTTTTTTTTTTTTTTGTAAAGATACGTTTGGGTAATTCTTAAGATAAAGTAGTAGGTGCCTAAAGGAAATAGATACTGCATTTAATAAAAAAAAAAGAAATCTAAAAGATGAATCTTGTAACAGAAATAATGGTGCATATTGACGCCAAACTCTCTCTAAAACCTATTTTAATCCCGCCTTTGATAGTTTCCTCACAATGCCCAGTATTGACGTGACCTTCTCTGTTCAAACCACGGACTCCAAGCGTACGATCAACTTTTGACATTATGCAAACTATGTAATAGTTATCAACTACATTCTATACCAAACACTGGCCTCTAATATCCTTGAATTGAATTTTAGGAATATCATATACAGATTTCCTAACCTGAGACAATACATGTATCAGTCGCGTTTTATAGTGCCGCCAATGAATTCTCACAGTTACCATTAAAATGATTAAAAGTAAAGCGAATAAGACACAATATAATATTAAGCCTTCTATCTTTACAAAAGAATATATGGATATTTTGAACAAAAAACCATCAAGCAGTAGCAAGTTTGCAATGAGCCATAAAATAACCTCCAGGGCTGCACTAAAACATATTTGGTATATGGTATATTTGGTATATGATAATTTAGTATTTGGTATATTTTGTATGTGGTATATTTTGTATATAGTATTTTTAATATATGCTACGTTTGATTATTGTTCATTTGGCATATTCAAATCTCTGCCATAGATTAAGAGTATTTTAAGGGTTTATTAATTTTTATTCATACAAGTAGCCAATTTAAATTTAAAGTTATTCGTTTTGGTTATTCTCTGTAGGTTCCAATTAAATTTCCAATTGCTTATTGAATTCAAAAGGCTTCCCAAAGAGCGGAAATATTAACATTATGATGAAAATATGAAAAAAGTACAACGTTACCACAGTTTGCCCAGAATTACCATACGTATCCAAGCATATGACGTGTGCGTGTGCAATTAAGCTAAATATCAGTGCTGATGCTTTTCTCTTTGCATTCAATAGGAAATTTAGCCGGAACCAAAAGATATTTCGATAGGAACCAATATGAAATTTGATAGGTACCAGTAGGGAATTCAATGGGTTCCAATAGGAAATGGGACCAATTCCATAGCTGAACCAACTCGTACCAGCTAGATCCAATAAGACACTTTTTCTGGGAAGTTCTTTATAAGATTTGGGCAAAAAGATTCAGAGGTTCAAAATAATTTCCCCGTCCTTCTTGCAGAGGCCTCTTTAAATATGGCTGCTTGTGTCCGCGTGCTGACTTGGAATAAGACACATCGGCAGTGTTAATAATTTATCACTTTGGAAGTTTAAGTAGGTAAGCATTGCCCCATTCACACAAACGTCTACATAATCTAGTCAAACGTTAGTGGCATGAATGCCAATATTTTCAGTTGCTGAAAGAGGCTTGGTTAAAGGTATGAGAGTCTGAGCAATGAGACTGTTTGTGTGACTTAGAACCTGTCATAGTTCACGTATACCGTCAGATGACCTTTTTCACATTTCGAACACAAATGAAGTTATCAGGCGCAGCCTGTTTCTGTTTGTGACAGCAGAGCCCGTAATACCACACCTTTGTGTTCTCAACCGTACGATAAATGAGGACTTCAATATCCAGTTGTATGAACTTGGAGAAAACAACATACACAGTTAAAACAATTACCTCCCCAAGAGCTGTCTAACAACACGTCATTGTGTCAACATAGAACACAAGCAAGATAATTGAAATGAAAAGAGCGGAAGTCATTTCATCAGAATCGATATCCTATTCCTCTCAGGTCCACGCCTGCCACTGTGGATGAATTAATGTTTAAGGATCATGGCCCCATGATTACATGCTTATCATTTTTATCGATCGCGATAACGGCAAATCTGGCCATAATAAAGCAGTTATGCGTGTGGCGATTCTTACTAGCAGCTGTTTCCGACTCTTTTTTAAAGAACTTGCCGTGGATTCTCCACTGGTAATTGTCCACATAGTGTCTTCTTTCCGGATACCTTGACGTCCACTACCACTGTGCACAGCATACTGTTACTGTGAGAATTAAATACATTTCAAATATTTCAGAAGGAATTCATTTCATAAGGTATCGAAAACACTGTGCTGATTTTATATGACAGCACATGTTACCGCAGTGAAATACATATATTAATGACATCAACATCCATCTACTTTGACTCAGGTGCTTATTGTAATGTTCCTATTCATGTAATTCATTGCTAACGAGTTTTTGCCTTTTTGCCTGAAGCCGATACTCGGCCATTACTTTCTCAGTATTGCCGCTGGCCAATGCTTTCGTTTTCATCATTACAACTGACAACATTCCCTTGTATCAACCTGAGATGATTCTTTGAGTGAGAATTGATAGGAGAATAATCAGTATGGCTGCTCAGGCTGAGTAGCATTTTGTTTCTTCGTAAAAAGCGAGTATCTTATTTGCAGTTTGCTTATTATTGATGTTCGATTGATCTATGTTTTAACGATTTTTTTTTTTTTTGCCTGATGGAATAGACCATACAAACTGCTTTAAAAACACTGGGGAGAAAAATATTTTGAATTTATTCACAGAATCATTATTGAATCATTATATCTCAATGTGAGCCTATTCCTCACTACTGAACCATCACTCATTAGTTAGCCACTTACCGAAACTTAATTTAAACGTCTGCCTTTTCTTTCAGGAAGCACCGGAAGCTAGAGGTGAAGGCATAATACTCAATGGACCCCACCAATCTCCCGGTAAGTCCATCCAATCAGAGTCAGCCAAGATAGCCTGAACCGAGGCTGACACAACTGCATGACGTCATTCAAGACTACAATACGCGCGAGAGTGCGCGTGAGCCGTTTTTTTTTTTAATATCTTCTCAGAGAGCAATACAAACGTGACTCAGAACATGGTGAATTTCTTCTGCTGTGAATCGCTTCTGTTCGACAGAATTTAAAAGAAAACTACCAGAAAATTATCCTTGGATAAATTCTGTCATCATCAATTATTACGTCACCGTCTACCATTATTTTTGCTAACCCCACCCTCCCAAATTCATTTAAACCTTGAATTTGGGGGACAGTAAATGCCTTTTTAGTCAATTTAAACAAATTTGATGTCATGAAACTTTTACCGCCGTTTTAGTTTTCCGCGCTCCCGCAGAATCTGCGCAATATCTTGTTTTGTGTCGGAAAACGATCGTTCTTTGGGTCTATATTTTGCCATTGTAATCATAATTTTGATCGGGAAATGTTTACTATTGCTTTCCGGGATATGAAGATGTTATATACAAAGATGAACCAACCTGTTTCTGTAATATCCCTCACGGAAATATGAGAAAACAGAAAGCACAGTTAAATAAGAATGGTTTTTAATGGTAAATTGCGACGTTTGATTTGCCTGAAGCAATATTGCATTTTTGTATCTAGTCAATATTTAATGCAGTCCAAATTAATTACTTAACTGGCGTTCCCTAGTGACACTGGTTGCATAAATGCTCGCCCACGTCTTCATACTGGATCATATGCTTGTTTCATCACTCAAACATTAAGAATTTTGACCACGAGCGAGTTTTTACATTTGCCAGAGCATCCCAGCGGGGTTTACAAATTTAGTTGGGTCTATTGAAGAAAAGTACATTTGGGAAATAAACACATAACAACCGGTTATTTCCAGCCTACAAGTACGTCCCATGCCAACGTTCAGCAACCACATTGGATTAGCATAGTCGCCCTGGTGGCAGGCGTCGTGGGGGGTCTCATCCTCGTCATTTCCGTTATTGTTGTCTGTAAATATTGTTTCAAGAAATCCTACGACAAGTAAGTATAAAAAACTTTGTTCAATATTTATATAAAGGTAGTATATCGGACCTGTAAAACAGTGAATGGCTAATATGTATCTAGTATCACCTGCAACTACTACAAAGGCCAACAAGATTTTGTATGCTGCCAGTGCATGGTGTCAGAAGAACATTAAAAATGCTATGGTAGCCGTCATAGTAGCTCTGTTGTCATGGATGTTCCATTTCACTATATTTGATTTTTTATTTTGTTGAATGAAGTAGCATTTTTATATTCTTGAAATAGGATGTTAAGCTGAAAATTGCTACACTGTATAACCAAAAGCTCGGTGAAGTTTGGGAAAGCCCTGCCTATAACTGAGGTACACGAAACGTCTAAAAGATAGAATAAAAGTCCATCTTTACATTTTCAAAACATTACAAACTGCTACAGGCTTCTTTTAGGGGGACATTTTATTTGCGTTTTGGACGGGACTCGTTCTAGATAAGGCGTAGGTAGACCATACAGCATTTTGGTAATTAAGCTTACTTTCTGGCGAAGCATGTACCAAAGGCACATATTATGAGTTCCAATTTAAGATGGATTCGAGTTGCAGATCTGACAAAAAAAATGCCCTTAGCACTACCAATTGGCTCGTTTTGTCGACTTTTCGGTGTGATATGGATACTCTCTCGGAAAAACTAATTGAACGTACTGATATTGCATTTTCGCGCTGTACATACCATTCACATGAATTTTCAGGCACCTCCCTTTCGCCATTATTCCAATTATTGAACACAGCAAAAATGTAGTTTTATTTTCTTTTTTTAATTATAAAACAGTCTACCCGCGTATACGTGAGGCTTTTGAAGGAAGCCAAGGACATTACTCCGGTATTAGAATTAATTTATCTGAGCTTCATCACCGCACCCATACCTTCGTGTATTCTGTAACACGTGCGGGCCGTGCTTGAACTGGTGTAGATATATTTACTTAGAACACTTCAGTTACAGTTCGATAAAAATAGGAAACGAACCATGTCTACACAATTAGTACATACTAATTAGCCAGATAAAACGCCGCAAAGCCTCTGAAGTGGAGGTTTTGTGCCGAAATCGATACTCTCCCGTCACGGGTATCGGCTATGCTCTCTTATGTACTATGCACTTGTAACAGTGTTGTAATATGCCTTGGAAACGCTCTTCTGGTATTGAAGGACAAGACACGAAAAAGTTATGTAGACAGCGTTCCTAGACTCTAAATGAAGTGAGCCTAAAATAATGTTTAAAACGGCATGATACTGTCCAGGTGAATCGTTTGGAAGCGCTTATGGATATTTGGTAAGAAATTAAAGTTCGACCATGAGAAAAAAATCATGATGAGAACAATACATCTTTTCTATGTTTTTTTTATAAACGTAATTTTATGGTGCAAAGTTATAGTTTTATTTTATAGCTTAGGAGGAAATTAAACCAGTGAAGGCAGCAGATTATATACATAACGATATTCCTTCTGATGGTCGGGTGCAGGGCCAATAAGCATTCAGGCTGCGCTGCTGATGATTGTCTGAATGGTAGTTTTGGATATTAGCCTGGTGTTGAGAGAGAGAGAGAGAGAGAGAGAGAAGAGAGAGAGAGGGAGAGTACGAATACTCCGCTGAATCAGATTCATAAGGAAGGTAAGAAAGAAAACCAGGCCGCTAGAGCGTTACCTACAAATATTGCCTGCTTGGTAAGATATCGGCTTAGATGAAGTTGCCATCGATTATTATGTATATAACTTAGTTGTGAAGTATCTAGGTGCTCTCTTCAGCTGGTGGTCGGATATACGCAGATAAAAACCACATGGGACAGGAGTGAAGGCAATCCGTCGATATTACTGTCAACACGCCGTCAGTATGAGAACATCACCAACAGATAATTGCTTCACTAGCGTTAAGAAACTCTTCTTTAATTTAGGGACCCGGAAGTGTATCGTACAGGGTCAGACAAACGCGGCTTCCGTCCTTATAGGCAGTACGAGAGCCTCCAAACTCAGCCCAGCGTTGAGGAACAGTCAGAGATCTCGGCCGATAGCCAGCAACACACGGAAGACGGGTACGTAAATAATAGACAGGAACACAGCCAATTCCATTAATACACGACCAACGCGTCTGTATATTTTATAGTACATAACACAAAGCACAAACCAATAGCACATCAATCTGACAATACTACAAATAGTCATCATAGATAATATGTTTGATTTATAAATTGTAAACTACATTTTACCAACACGCTGGCCGCCGGGTAGAGAGTTGTCAAAAGCAGTTTTAGGTGTTATTGAACCTTAAAGCGCAGTTCATCTGTACTACTGTGCTGTTAGACCACCGTTAGTTTTTACATTGCGTTTTAGCAATTGAACTCATATTAAAACTCGAAGATGGCCTGCAGGGAATTGATTCACATTTGGTGCTCTGTAAATGGGTTTTAATTAGTGTGAAAAAATGGATTGAAGTTTTGCAACATTTCGCATTCTGCTTCCATTTGGTTCTGTATTGATGGCATAACGTAGAGATTTTATATATATATATATATATATATATATATATATATATAATGCACATATATAAACACAAGTAATACATTCGTTTTACCCATGACCTTTGTAAAGGCACGTTTATTCCGCTAGAGAGAGGTTTCTCGTAGCACCTGCTAGTGCTAGCTGTTACTTTTAGACCAAAATATTTGTCTCCTTTTATTCAGATAAATCAGTTGCAGTATACTCACTTAATATTGGACCTGGTTAATGAAAAGAAACGATTGGATAATATTTCAGTTACAGTGTTAAATTAGAATGATTCTAAATGGAAGTGGGCAAAAATCACTGTTGGTCTTAAGTCCGGGCCACCCCGTGATCTTGAGTACCATGGCGCTCGGTCCCGGTGGTTTGGGCATCACGTCCAGAGAACTTTCCATTGATGTACGTTTGATATCATTTCCCAGTGTCATATAGAAGGAGATAAAGACCTCCTACATCTGAAGTTTAATCATCTTGTCCATTGTGATTCCCCCATCATCTCCTGAAGTTAAAGTACTCCGCTTTGTACCGAAGTCGACCATTTCGACGTGCCGGATATCATTGCCTCGTCTCTATACCCCATTGCCAGCTGCTCTTTCATGTTGAGAACGATCGATCGTCTGATACAATAAATGATGGAATGATCATCCCATCCTATAATGGATCTGGCAAAAAGTAGGCGATTACAGAGCGTTGGTGTTTATTTGTGTTCTGGACATGGAAAGGCAATGATTGTATGTACTAGTTCAACTACAGTTCTATGGTATAGTCCGCTCCAGTCAAACATTCTGATGCTATTGAGTTTTTAACTATTGAAACATCGTTTTGCCAAGATGGTGGACTAAAGCTATTTTTTCTTCAACTCATTACATCATACATATATACACGTTTTATTGGCAAGGAACATAAATATCCAGACCTATTCTGGCGTCCGGTGGAGCATTCATATTTTCCAATGACGCGACATTTTACAGAATTGCTTTGTGTTCAGGTCATCGACAAAAAAAAAATAGTAATTAAAAAAAATAAAAAATAAATAAAGATCAGCTATATGAATGAACTCAGCACCAACAAAAGCCTAATGGCAATCCCCTTCCCACCCCCTCCAAACACCATGGCCTTCGTTAAATTTTAGTTTTTCCTGTCACGAAAACCGCTCCATGACTCAAACTCCAGGAGAGGTAAATGTCACTCTTCCATTTCTCTGATGATTCCTGCCTCCATTAAATGTTTTACATGCAGTATGCATCGATTTCTTAATGTTTCCTGCTGCGGTATAGTCCCCCGCCATTTACCGATTCAGTTTATGAATCAACCGACCTTGGCCATGACGGTGCCGCAGAGAACTGTTTACGGCATGATCAACATGGCCGCCTACTCCTCCACTATCCCTAGCTCAGTAATTCAGTTAACTTGTCGGTTCAGTTGGGATGCCGGTATGGTTTAAGTGTTGACACCTTCACGGTGAGGACGTGGGATGGGGGTCTTTATAGAACCACGTCCCCATCGGGTCTTTCAACGTGAAGTATTGACCAAGAGTTAATGACTTTATCCCGGTTATTGCACCCCATAGACATTTCGCTTCTTTATTAAATAAGGCTCTTAGATAAGCCACGTCGTGTTACCACTTATCAGTGAACTGGAGCCAATTATGCCATCAGCCTTGGAGTCTATGATATAAACAACAAAGTGACAACGTGCTGACGAAATTTTTTCAATGATATTGTACCAGAAAGTGGTGGTTGCTTTCCATTACATACTCCTCGATCTTAAAAATAGAAGGATGAGGAACGAAGACAGAACGGCATTTGTTTCCATGACAACCACAATGGCGTTTTCCCGCATTTCAGTGACGCCCACATTCTTCATGTTTTGATTTTTTGGGTGATAAAAATCAATTTACTTTTCATCACGCGTGGGAGAGATGTATCGGTTACAAATCCCCTGACGAAGCGCCAAGCGAACTATAGTGCAGTCTTTCCATTTCCATATGCAAGGAAGAACCCAATTACACCATGCCAAAATGTTTGAACCCGATAATGATATCGTTAAATACAATTCAGCAAAAGCTGTCAGATAACGCGTCAAGTAAATTACGTTTGGAAGGAAAAAGGTGTCAAAGGAGTCAAGCACGCTGGAATAGATATGGGTTTGTCGCTGAAATTTGTTTTGTAAGAATAAATTGCTATTGAAATTATGTTTGTTTTCTATATAATTTTACTTTAAAGCAATAAACTTGCACGGGAGAAGTGGTGCATTCCACATTCCGATAGTATCAGGGTCTGCAACAGCTGCCAGGCTTCGTCAAGGTAGACTGATCTGTATTCATTTCTACCTGTACTACATTTCGTGTGTGAAATAAATTTCTGCTCTCATTCAAGGTATAATGATTATCCTGAAGAACAGGTAAAGTTAGTTGACGAAGACAACAAAGCGACATTCTCTGGACAGTGTCTTCGTGAATTGTCAGGTAAGTAGCGTCCCCAGAGGAAACAAAAACTTCACGCACTTGCTTCATGTTTGCCGAATCACAGTCAGTAACAAAACACACTTTCACCTATTTATCTACGCGTAATGAACTTAGAAATCAACACTTCATTGTCGCAGCATAATAAATGGAAAGTTTTTCTATATGCTTCTTGCCATTGTTACCGAGTATGCACTCTGCACATGGATCAATTTATCCAGAAAGTTAACAAACTGTTCAGTTCTCACCACTACCTCCATGAATACAAGCTCACATAGAGAGCGTGAGTGTTCTCGATGTTGCCCATGGAGTACCTTCTCCAGCTCGCCGATACACTGAAGGTTCATGTGTCTGCAGCTTTAAGGAGGCTGTCCCGTGTCTTTGCAGGGATACCCGAGGAGGCCGCCGCCAACAGCAACCACCACAGCGACACCTATGAGCAGTATGAGCCCGAAGACGGCGGGGAGAGACGAGTGTCCTTTCAACTGAGTGACATACCCATACGACCCCCTTCGTCTTATTTCAAAAAAGGAAGAAGGTAAATATCCAGCCTTGCTCCTCATGTAAACACTTTTACTTGACTTTTGTTAAGGTAAGAGTTTTTTGCTCATTTGGGTCCTGTTAGATTCCGTGCGTAGCTGTTAATATGTTAATAAGATTCCATCTTTTACGGGGTACTCCATGTTCAACTTTTTGTTTCATACACACTCCTAAACATAACCAACCGCTTACAGACAAAACAGCAGCGCAACAGTATGTTTTAGCTTTATTAGATACGAAGGTACAAAATTTATTTTCATCAGGGATATTAATCACATGATCCAGGTGACATTTCTTGTTATTTATTATTGCGTTATAACTTAAAGGCAATCTTTACCAGTCTTCGCTCTGAGTGAGAAAGTCGTGTCTTACAGCGCCAGAGGGTCACAGCTGTCTAACAAAACAGTTATTCTGTTTTGCACACATCACCATGTCGCTATAATTGTCTTGTACATGTTTTGTTGTCCTGTTTTCCGGTTTCTCCAATAAATCGTTTAATTGTCAAGAACCCTCCGCAACCCTTTATGCTCTGAATAGGTAAAACTTTGCTAGTTTTTTTGAGCAACAAAGCTTTGTTAACTTTCTCTTCGCGCACCTGTAGCTTTTACTCGTAAAAAAATCGATTCCACTTCAACTTGAACCACGCCAAACTATATGTCTCAGTAACTGTGCATCTCTCTCCAGCATGCAGCACGATGACGTCACTTCCGGTGACAGTGTCAACAACAACAACATGTAAGTGATACGGGGATTCCTGCTGTGAAAGTTATAATTATTTTATCAGAATGCTTTTCGTTTATAGTCTCACTTTTTTCATTAACAACTAATAAACCTATATTCCAGGAACGCCCTTGTGATGCACGGCGTTCTACTCCAGTACAGTTAGGGGGCGGTATCGGATACAATACATTTCCTACACATCAAGTCATTAAAACGAAAAACCGATTCATCTAATATGGGCAAAAGGTTAACAAACAGTGTTGCGAAGTTGTTGGTAATTTGGATTTAATTTGCGCCCGAAGTGCGATTATTGTGACAATTTTAAGAATTGAGCGTGGCCTTCTCGAATGTCGAGGATTGATAAACAAAATTTAAATATTATTCATTGAAAAAAAAAAAAAAAAAAAAAAAAAAAAAAAAAAAAAAAAAATAATAATAATAATAATAATAATAATAATAATAATTAATAAATAAATAAACATTATTTTTGCTGGAATTAACCAAATTGACTTCTTTGTATGCTGGCAAAGTGGTGCAAAATTTTCTCATATTTGTCGCGTCCAGCAATATTTAGGCACAATGCGCGTTCTAAGTAAAATTCATCGCCTCTTGTCTCCGATACTGTCCCCGGTGTTTGCCACAAATGGTTGTTTATATCGGCAGCTCGTCCTATCACCGATAAAAGGCCCATTTATTCATTTTAGCATATAATTCATTCATCAGTTTATTTAGATAATGGATAACTATGTTTCTTTTTTTACATATTCTTTGGTTCGGGAATTGCAGCATTGATTTTCTGGGCTGAGCACAATGGATCCTTCACGCATGCGTGTTCGGCCACTTTTCACAAAGCATGATTGATTGATTGTTATAACCTTAACTCAATATCACAAAGGCCCTTGTCTTCCAGTAGTGTGTTAGGGCGTACATAAAGATGTTAAGAAGCATTTTGTCATTCAAACCACTTTACATTTAGCATTTAGACACGAGTTATATGTTTGACTTTTTTCTAGCAATGTATTTTTTCTACGTTTGTCCATTTTTTTTTTATTTTGCTGATATGTCTATTAGTTTGAGTGTAATTTGTTTTGTGATGCTGAGTGTGTCTTAAGATGGTTCCCTGGGTTTGGTAGAACATCCACATATCTACATGAGATTGGATTGCAACACGGTTTAATTGCACAGCGTTGATCGAGTAACAAAGGATCTACAGCTTTGTCATTGAAACATGTAGGCCTATAGAACTGTGTTATATATCTTTTGTTGACTATCTACTGTATGCCTGTATACAACATGTGAATAATAATTTGTTTTATTTGTTTCCCTAACTCTCATCAAGAGGAAATTTAAAAAACTTCATGACATTTAAATTTGATTAACATTCAGTGTTTTAGAGCGAGGAACAAAACATCTTTTTTTATTTTAGGCGTATCTTTAGACATCTTTTGTAACATTTTTTTATCCTAGCTTACTGATTCCATTTGTTAAATTCAGGTACACAGAGGGAGATTACCACTATCTTAAGAAGTTGCGAATTGACCCTGTTCCATCTGCTTCTGCTGCTAAAATGGTTCGCCAGGCAACAGTGGCAACGCCAGAAATAATGGCGTACGAGAACGTAACGCCACGTAAGGACGCGTCTGAGATCACGCGCGAAGTGACTTTGTTCTCTGATGACAATGTCACAGACCACGAGATGGAGGAGGAAAACTATGCACCGAACCTGACGAATACGCACATTGTAAGAGACGCTAGACCTCACAAAACTGAAGTGTGTGTTGAAGTCCATCGAATAGCAAGCGAATCACCGTTATCAAACGGTAACGTCAACAAACCCTCCCCGCCAAGAAATTTAATGGTCGATAAAAGTGGGCGAAGACGCCAGTCTCAGAGCCTCGAGGTGGTCAGTCCTTTAGGGCGGCAGAGCCTGGGGGAGGCCCGCAAAGTACGCAGTTATGATGCTGTTCTGGATTATGAGTTTGAGCAGGCAGCGTTGGACCGAATGAACAAGGGACCCTTCTACAACGCAGATTACGACGTGGTGTCAGAGAGCAAGAAGTCTCCGTGCCGCGGCCGGGTCTGTTATAACGACACGGGCAGCTACGAGAATGTCAACGAAGAGAAGATTTGCGACGAGCTGGAAATGGGGGCCCTGGAAATGGACAAAATCACGCTGACCGAGAGCGATGAAACAGAGGAAACACTCAATGGAGGGCAAAAGTATCGGGACCTTTGGTATCTGAGAGCAACGTTGGAAAAAGAGGAGGAGAACCAGGAGGATACGGTAAGAATGGAGGATACTTTGTCACCGTCACCAGAAAATGAATCTCCCGAGCAAGGGACATCTATAACGACGTCCTTTGAGTCCACAGCGGGGTACGCAGACGAGAGCGACGTTAATATGCCGGAAAACAAAGGGGATCCCAAAATACCAGAACAAAAGAGAAAACAATCGGCGCAGTTCCTCACGCCGCCTAACGTTAACGGAGAAATGAGGAGGCAAAACTATAGAAGTATTCTCACAAAGCGTCTGCAGAACAAAATGGACGCGCCACCGACAGCAAGCAATGATAACAGTTTCGACAGCTTTGAGACGGACGGCGGACGGAGTACGTCCGAGTCCAGTCGACAGGAGGTGACAACGACGTCATTCGAGACATCTACGGATAATACTGACAGTACCAACGACAGTCAGACACACAAACTGCAACAAATGAAACACGACAGTGGGTACAAATCCTTGGAGGTGAATAAATCGTTAGATAATGGTGCTGCGCCAGTGAAAGCGTTGTCTCTGGACAGCCACACACCTCCTAGGCTAGCTAAAAAGCAAATGCGCGTCTCCTTTGAACAAGACAGCATCGACAAAGACGAAGCCATGGACACGTACCCGCCAACAGAGGGAGAGGGGGCAACGGCAAGCGCCGCCGACCCGACACACAAACGCTACAGGAAAAACAACAACCATAACCACGGCGGCCAATTATTCGACAGGAGGGCAGCTAAAACTGCGTCGAAGAAAAGGCGGGAGTTTCATCGTGAGCGTCAGTTAGTTCACGTGTATGAAAGTATCAACGAGCCTGAGACCGACAGCAAGTCTGACCAACCCTCTGGGGACAGCTTTGAAGAGCCCGCCACCTCTAGAGCTCCTCCCCAGCCGCACGGGAAGTTCTCCGTTTTCACTCGATTCTTCCGTTCTAGTAGCGGGAAAACTAGGCATAAAACTCGCGTTCGAGATTACAGCATTGACGAAAAAACCGATCAGATCTTCAACGAATTCCTCCGACAGGACCCGAAGTACGAACCTGCCTCGTCTCTCTCAGTGCGCTCTCGGTCCCCGAGAATCCATTCGCGGCATCGTGGCTTGAGTCGCAAGCAGTACACAGACCCGCAGATTGGCGAGTCGTCGGGAAGAGGGAACAAATTGAAGCCAGAGATGAGAAGCGTCAGTCTGGGTAGCGACAGCAGCTGCAGCTCCACGAGAAAACTGTCTCCCCAGGACAGCATAGAGGAGGAGTACCTTAGGCAGGAGAGCGCCAGAATTTGGGACTCTGGTCGGGAACGCCACTTTGCTTCTCCCAAGGAACACCCTCAAAGCACCATTCACGAAATTCCGATCATCAAACTCCATACAGAAGAAGAACAGTAAATGTTGAAGCTGTGCTTCTACAGGTTTTAATCTTTTCAATCTCTCCTTACCACACTGACACATTCCATCTTGAAACAGACGACATCTTGCTCGTGCACATTACCGGAGCGCAATGCTCTTTTTTATGACCTAGCGATTTGCTTCGATCCATTGACGAGTACCCATCGATGCTGCTTATTGTACAGGTGTTTTTTTCCTCTTAAAAATATGCATATCCATTCAGGAACATTGTTGTTGGTGGTCTTTGTCTTTAATCTTACATATGGCCGTATATTGTGAACCACGATAAAGTTATTTTGATAGGGAGGGACGGGGCGTTTGTACAATCGAGCAAGTTATCAGCTGCTCTTGAATCTTTCATCTTTCAACGGCAAAGCGAGAAATGTATTCAATGAAGCGTTGCCTATGGCAACAAGAGTTTTCTGCGGAACTGTAAAAATGTCTCCAAGTCAGGAGGCCGGTTTGCGATATGCTCAAATATTATATAGTTTTGTTGCATAATTTTTCACTTGTCGATGTGTTAATTGGTATTCGATCTTTATCTTGTTGAGTATTTTGGGTAGATTGAATGAAACGCTGATAATTAGGGGGTCATATTTTACATAATGTTAAGCACACAGTTGTTTTGATAATTAATTAACCTACAGGTTTCTTCTGTCTACACACTTGCAAATCACTTTTTAAACTGTATATTTTTATACTACAAGTTTGACTCTGCTATGGGTTATTACATTGGTGCACAGAACAGTTACGCTTATTTCTTTTGAAAATACCTTTTTTGAGTCTCTTAGATATTTGTTCAAGTTATTGCATGGAATGTAGATTTTGGTCTTTTCGTAGGCTCTTAAATCTAATCAATTGCAGCATTAGCAATATCATGTTCGCTAGAGTGCTTACGTCCGTCACAGATATGGGGTTCTTGTATCAAATTTTGACCACCGTAAGGTTCCTATTTAATTAAATTTGATCCTATTTGAAAACAACGCATATGGGAAGTGCACCGCCAAGGGAGGGAGGGTGGCATGTCAGTTTTCAACTCTGTGACGGCGGTAGCCTATATGTTTTTATAACATGCATCATTCTTAGCAACGTCTCCCTTAGCAACAGATTATTTCATTAATTAGCAATGCAGGGTATCTGCTAAACATTATTTTAGCATGCATATCAGCGTTCTGAATCTATCACTACTATGTAGGATACCTTGTTATTCACCAGAATAAGTTTTTGTACACGGTAAGCGTCTCGCGTGTATTGTGCTCGATTTTTGCATTAATATATTCATACAAGATTTGAAAAAAACGTTTTTAAAAAATTCTACTTATATATTTTCGCAAATTTGCGACTGTATTTTGTCATTGTGCAATGCATTGTTCTGTGATCGTTATGGTGAGTAAAATACTTTTTCAAGTTTATGAAACGTTTGTCATTACTTTATAAAAATGAAACGCCGAATCACATCATGAAAACATAACATAAGAAACATAATGTAATTATCTTACACTTTAATTTTCTCATTTTTAGATGAAAGCTATCGTTCGCGAAAATTTGGTTTTATTGGCGTCAGTCGGCCTTTAACCACAATCATTCCCATAAAAGTACCACAAATAATATTAGATTTCTTACATAAAATGTTTTTCCCAGTCATCCTACTCCACATCATCAAAACATTTAGTCGTCAAACGTGAAAGTCAGAAAACTTGAAAAATTTTTGGTTTCTTGTTTTGAGTCTGCCGGTTTCTTTGCTGTGGGCCTTTTGTCGTCACCCTCCAGTTGCTGAGCCCCGTCTGCCACTCTCTGCGCCTGTCTGTCAACAAAGTTTTGGACCTTCTCTCGTAGTGCTATGTTTTCAAGCTTTACTTTTAACAGAAGATCTTCCCTCATGGCTGCCCCCCAGTTCTTATCATGGACGCGGGCAGGACGGGTGTGGTGAAACGCTTGGGCGCTTTTTGGAGGAACGCGCGCAGGTAACAACTGTGCCGTTAAATGTGTATCCGGCGTTCTAGTCGCGCTTACCAGGCTGGCGCTTTTACTTCTTCGGTGCTTTCGCACCAATGAAAGGACGTCTTTGTCTTTCTCATTATCTCCAGCAGTATTCAACGCCGCGCAATTCCCTGACGTGCGTGTAGGTGTTATCAGGAGTTGTGGGTGGGTTTTTAAAGATTCCACCTGCTCTCTCACCACTTGTTTACTGCCATTCGTATGTCTCCAGGTAAAACTGCGCACTAATTTGGCGTCTGGTGATCTTCTTGACAGTAACCCGCGTGTGTTTGGAATAGAAAATGTGTCTGTCTCTGGTAAACACCGGACATCCGTCTTCAGATCACGTGATAACATCCTCGTGTCCCTGGTGTCACTGTGGTCAAGACTTGGACCGTCTCCACTTTGGCTGTAATCACTCTCATCTGAAGTCCGCAAGGCACCTGTACCTGTTATAGGGCTTAGCGTATGCTCCCTTTTAATGGAGGCAGACTCCTTGTCAAATCGCTCGGTAGTGTCGTGTTTTATGAGTCGTTTACCGGCAGCGTATGTAGTCAAATCTTTGACAGCGTTCTCCCTCACAGGTGCCGATATGCACCGCGTATTAGAAGACATTCGTTTAAATTTTGACATCTCAGGCGTTTTCACGCTTGTCTTATCGTATTTACTCCTTCGTTTCTTAAACATTTGTTCTTCGCGTCGCAGTGAGTCCAGAAGCATAGACTTATCCAATTCCAACTTCTTGATCTGAGCCTGACAGTCTTTCTTCAGATCTAAAAAACACTTAAACAACTTTTGGGACTGGATGAGTTCGTAGGCAGATTTCTGCTCGCTGAACGATATCTTTTGGGATCCTGTCGATTTTGAATAATTTTTCAACATCTTGGCAGAGAAAACTTCTGCGATGTCCTGTCACGTCTGTAGCACACGTCGTCGCCTTGCTGTTTACTAGTCGCCGCCTAAAATATAAAACCAAGATGCAGCCTGAGTCAAAGGTGACCTTGATACTTGACGTTTAACTCCTGGGGTTATATATATATAAAGACTGACCAAAGGACTGTTGATGACTTGATGTGCATTCGAAAACATAAAAGGTCTCAGATGCGGCATTAATTTCTCTCCACAATGTCCGTCGTACCTGAGATCATGATAGGCTACAGGTCGCACGGCGGTACAGTTGACTTAGAATTGACTCTGGTAAAAATCTTGCATAGTTTTAATTGAAGCATACATACTTACGTTATACACACTTCTGTGAAGTCAGTTGTATAAAAATATTTACAGCTCTCTTTAGTATTTTACCATTTGCTTTCCAAGTTGAAAATATTTTACATTTTACTTAAAGAAAAAATACGCCAGCAACTAAATATTAATATTTCAGCTGCAATTCCTTCACTTTTCTCGAGCATGTATTTATTTCTACTTACCTCCACTCTGAACTGAATGCCTTCTGACATGCCATCAGATTGTTTCTAGTATGAATAATATCTCCGTATTTAATCAGAGGCTCTGCGCTCCTCCAGTTACCTGTACCTGAGCCAGTCAGCGGTGAACAAAGTACACCTGTACACCGGGGAGAAAAGGTGTCCCCACTTGTGGAGCGGGATTAATATCAACCCATACTGGGGGTAATTCCAAACACAAGCAGCAGAAGTGTCGGGGACATTGTGAACGGGATTCCATGTTGACACACACGTTTAGAGATAATTCCCCTCAAGAAGCAAACCAAATGCAATGACAAATGACGAAAAACTTGTTAGTAGAACCCAGGTTTACTCTACACCATCATATATACATGGTGATGACATGATCAGTAATCTTCTCTTACAGGTTATTCATGTTTGCTGTATGACATGAAATGAAAACTTTTTAACATTCATGTCTTTCTGTTGCCATTATACAGAAGTTTTAAATTGTAAACAAGCCTGTACAGTTACAAACAAGTAGTTTCTTTGTCCCTTTTCTGATTTCTAGAATACAGGTAGACTCCTCTTATGCAGGTTTGACATATTATTATTGAATTATTAAGCGACTGTCATCAGTTTCCACAACTTCATTTTTAATCCAATCCATCTACATTCACGTAGACAATTTCTTTAAACAGAAGTCAAATCGTTCTTTATTGTTGATGCTGTAGCTACGGCTTTACCACGCACAGGAATATAGATTAATCCAGCATGTCCAGAATGACGGCATATAGAGTGTACCCCAAATGTTTTACATTTATGCTTTTTCATTCTGTTTAATATATATCATAAAACCGGGGTGTTACCAAATACAACTGTCTACAACTTTCCTTTCTAAGACAAAAAGGCAAAATTTACCCCCACCTTTTATCAAAGCAAAATGACAGATTTAACCCCCAATTCACCTGAGAGCAACCAAAGCACAACAACAGACCCCTTTTCTCTTGTTTCTCTACATCCAGGGGAGGAGAAGGGTGGAATACCTACAGGGTGACATCCTTCTAGAAATCCCATGTCTGCCAGACCTAGACTTTGCGGACTATGGTTACAACATATAACTACATCCTGAACAATTTTCAATAATACAAATAAAAAAGCAACTAAACACAACCAGTTTAGTAAAATATTTTATTAATTTTTACAGTAAAAAAGACTGCAACTTCCCTCATGCAGTCTAATCTGTAACTAGTTGTGTGTTGATATTTTGCATAGACCTCCCCAAAAGGTTCAATCATTGTACAGAAAAAGTTCAACAAAATTCAGTCCATCTTCTCAAGTATAATGGCTACATCAACAGCCTGTCTGCATAGCACCTTTACAAACTATTTACCTTACAAAATAAATACATACATGCATACATACCTGAATACACACACACACACACACAAACACACACACACACACACACACACATTCATATGTACATACATACATGGTACAATCTAAATTTGAGGCTATGTGGAGTTGTCTTTATCATGTAAAATATTCTTCATGGTGAACTGGTACAACTCTTTATTGGCAGTCTGGAGCTGTGCAATATGTGCTTTCAATTCATGGGTCTCCTCTGAGTTACTTCCTTTAGTAGAACCCAATGTCTGTAAACCCTGCAATAAGAAAATTCATTCGCCTTAACACATCAGATTGTCAACATTGGGGACACTATACTTCACTACCATAGAGATTGTGAAAGTTGCAGTGACCAATGTGATACACTAGAGATTGTGACAGTTGTGATGACTAATGTGATAAACTGGAGATTATGACAGTTGTGATAACCAATGTGATACACTAGAGATTGAGACAGTTATGATAACCAATATGATATGCTTGAGATTGTGACAGTTGTGATGAGCAATGTGTTACACCAGATTGTGACAGTTGTGATGACCAATGTGTTACACCAGATTGTGACAGTTGTGATGACCAATGTGTTACACCAGATTGCGACAGTTGTTATGACCAATGTGTTACAATGTTCTTTATTCAAACTGGGATATTCAAGCTTCAGTGACATACTTCCAGTCATTTGTGATACTCGAAAATTAAGACACCTCTGCATCAGTAATCCAAATTTAATTTGAAAATAATAGGCCTAGGTTTTAACTGTGCAATAGCAGATATCTCAAATTTTATTTTTTAATGTTGTCAGCTCTGTAGTTTCAAGGAACTTAAAACAACAAGTTAACAAATCTTTAAACCTATGTTTTACAAACATTTATGCCCTGTGTAGTTCAATTTTGAAGACAGGCAGCCTACCTCTTCTAGTAAACAGTGTTCCACAAAGGTGCCTGATGATCCTTTCTCCCCCTGTGAAAAAAGTACTCAAAACTGCACATCTAATTTTGTTATACTACATTCCACACCAGAACCAGTATTCTACATCAACATTAAAAACATTCTTTAAGTTCACAAATGTAAAAAAAAAAAATTAGTGTAACTTAAATAATGCCATTGAATTCAAATTCAATTATCTTGGATAAAATCACAGATCTGGTACCTCATCCCTCTTGCTCCTCTTTATCTTGATGTGAAGAGTTTGGTCCTCTGCCTGGTCCTCTGCTGTGAACAGTTGTCTTTTAAACTGCTGTAGGGGCAGGCTTGTCTTCCACTCGCTGCTGCTGACACCTGGTGGTGTGGGAGATATCACCAGGTTTGTTACAGGGCCTGAAATAAATTAATAAATAAAGTTAAATACACATTCTCACACTTCTTACAACATCAGCAGGAGAAAAAAATTGTTCAAAAAAATCTCTGAACTTTTGGAATTTGAATTACATAGGAGGTTTAAATTAATTTTAAATAAAAAAGCAATGACAGTGAAATATGAATTAACCACACACAAAAAAAAAAGATCTTTCAGAAGGAATTTTAATGTTATCAATCTACCATCATAAGCTGACTACAAGTTTGTAATATACTATGTAAAGCTATCCTTACCTTTATGTGCAAGTGTTCTGATACATTGCCGACTTTGTATATCCCATAATTTTACACTACAGTCATGTGATCCAGATACTAGTAAACTGCTGTCCATGTTGACAGATAAACATGTCACTTGTTTGCTAAAATAAACGTTGAATTTTATACCAATTGTAGATTTACAACTATTTTATTCACAAAGAAGATTTATAAAATTTTTATATTTTTGACTGTCTCAAGATTTTATGTTATACTCTTATGCAACCATTGGTGTAATCTTATGTATTGCAATGAATATGAAAATTACGACTTTTTTCAATTAAAAGCAATTTTGGGACAAATCCCATTCTTTACCTGTGTCCTGTGAAAACCAACCCTCTTGTTTCCTCTTGCTCAGATCCAATATGATGCTCCTTGGTGACTGGCTGCAAGTAAATAGATATGAACACACTTTTCTATTTATTCATAAATTTCATCTGTAATAAATACCAACACCTGAGATATTTATGTCACAAAACTACTTTCACGGTTTGTTCACTTCCTCTGGTGTCTCTGAAATGAAGAAGACAGTAGAGCACAACCTGATTCTTCCCATCATCAAGATTTCACACTTAGAATAAAGTTAAACAAGTTCAAAATGAATTATGCAGAGCTATGGTTGGTTATATATATATCAAAACGAGGCTCATCATGATGTATGTTGCTCACCTTCTCAAAGAGGTTAGCCTGATATATCTTCCCATTACTACCTCCTGCAAACAGTCTGTATTCTGCTGTATCCATAGCAACAGACAATATACTGCAGTCATAGATAAAAGACACCAAAAGGTCACCAGATACTATGTCCCAAAGCTGAAAAAATGTATACAAGCAATAATAATAAAAATGATAGCAATAATTGCAATACAAGTCTGCTTCATATCTATGGCCTCATTCAGAATAGGGAATAACTAGTCTGAGGGTCAAATATGGCCGACCCACTTGAATACTTCCCCAATGAAATCTATTCAGTGTCTATTAGCAGATTAGACAGCAAGCTTTGTAGTGGGTCGCCATATCTGACCCCCGGACTAGTTTGCCCCCTATTCTGAATGGAGCCCATCTCACCTTCACAGTGTGGTCAAGTGAGGCTGTGGCCACTCTGGCCCTGCAGCCTCCACAGCCAATGTGGACATCAGTGACCGGTAGGGAGTGTGCTGACCACACATGGACTGGGTCCACCTTCTTCCCCTGGACATCAGCAAGGACGCTGGATAATGCAGGATTAAAATACACTCAGCATGGAATGTCACATTTTGCGTGTACTGCCTTAAAGTGTCCAAATAAGTTACACTAATAATTTGGACTGGCAACCATTAAAAGTTTTGTCTTTAAGAATACCTCATTTTTCTTATCTCTCCTCATTCTCCTGTTACCCTTTACATCACTTTGCTCATCATTTACAACAGTTTTTAAGCCAAATAAGAAAGCTTTAATTAATCTTTTGAAACTCTGATACCTTGCAAGATTCCAGACCAGCACAAGATGATCTTCTCCTGCAGATATAAAGTGGCTGCCATCATCAGTGAACTTGATACATCTAACTGTCTGGTAATGTCTGCTGAGGACCAGTAGAAGATTACCTGTACACACCTGGAATATATCAATAACAGGTATGGTCATCTGACTGTCTGGTAATATATTAACAATGGCTTAAGTCATATGTCCAATATCAAGCAAGATGACATGATGTGATGATAAATTTGTCTTGAATAGAAAGGAAAGAAAACAACTACCAGGTTACTCCCTCTGGACAGGTGACTGTGTTTTCTTACCTGCCACAGGTGTAACTTCTCATCTACTGCAGCCACACAGTAACTGCCCTCTGGACTGACCGCCAGACCACTCACTCTACCTGGACACACCATCTTCAACTGGAGCTGCTCCTAATCAAAGAGAAAGTAATGTCACCACACAATTAAGTATACAGAGAATATTAAATATACACAAGTGAACCACAAATTAATTAGTGTTTAGAAATTATTTTAATATGATATTAAAATATCATACTTTCAAATGAGATTGATATTGATACGGTTGTGAATGATACAACCTTGTTCTAATGAGATTGATATTGTTACGGTTGTGAATAATACAATCTTGTTTTAATGAGATTGATATTGATACAGTTGTGAATGATACAACCTTGTTTTAATGAGATTGATATTGTTACGGTTGTGAATAATACAATCTTGTTTTAATGAGATTGATATTGATACAGTTGTGAATGATACAATCTTGTTTTTAAGAAACACCTTTAATTGACATGCTAACAAGAGACAAACAGATTTTTAATAAGGTCTAAAAAACACAACACTGACCCTTTTCTGAAGTGACCAGACATGTATTAGTGACTTGTTGTGGACGGCAGAGAGGATGTACTGTTCAGCTAGAAGACAGAGTGTCCTGGGGACACTAGCGCCACCTTTGTAGGTGGCCAGTGTGGTTCCAGAATGAAGATCCAAGACACAGGTATTCCACAGCTGTCCTGTGCCTTCACTCGTAAATATCACCTGGGGAGAAGAAGGGAACATAATTAGCCAAAAAGACAATTTTTGACTGCAAAACAGAAAGCCCATCCAAATAAAAAGCCTTCTTCATACTACAGACATCTTTTTATTCTCCATTTGTACTATATAGATCTTTCTTATTTAGTCTGATATTTCCAAAGGCAGTAAGGGAAGGTGACAGCATGGAAAGACAAGTCCAGTACCTCTCCATTAGTGTCCATCAAAGTCAAAGTCAACATTTATTCCCTTCCACTGCTTTAGTGTAGCACAAATAATCACGCCCTAGCCCTAATAAATTATCTATTTAAGTAATAAAGCATGTGCTAGGGCTCAGGGGTAGAAATAAAATCCCAGTTATAAAGTGTTAGTTTTGACATGGAGGAACAGAAAATGTAAAAAAAAAAACTACTTTGAAAAAGTGAAAATTATAGGGGAGGGGGGAATATCCATAAGTGACAATATTTTAGCTATGGCAAAGACGGTTAACAAAGTGTAAGAAAAATTGGGGAGGGGGATCGATTGCACATTTGCAGTACTGGTATTAACATTTACGTAAATTTTAGTTGTGCTATCTCGTCTGACACAGCTTTCATCCTTTTTCGCATTTTTCTATCCTAAACAATTGTGTACTATCCTAACTAGGTTTTTAATTAACGGACAAACCACCAACATCATGAACATCGAAATAACTTAAAGATAAAACAAAAGATAGAAGTCGCACATTTACCTCTATGGGCGCAGCCATCTTGCAACTGTCCCGCAGTAAATATAGGTGATACACTGAGACTCATTGCTCGGCTGTTTGTTCTTTGTGATTTATGCAAGAAAATTAATAAATAAATAAAAACAATAAATCAACAAATAATGAGCTTCTAAATTCTTTAGTTTTGGAGGGCAGTGACAATACATAAATACTGAAATGACCCCCCCCTGTACCTAGCGCCAGATTTTTTTAATGCATTTTACTCTTTTAAAAAATAAACATTTATTTTTAAAATTGTAGTTTCTTGGTATGTTCTCATTATATTTATATGTGACGAAATGCACACTGTTTTTGCACGTCCTTCCATTTGCTTTAGCAATACATGTTTGATGCATACTTGAATTTTAAAAACATTAAAAATCAAAAGCAACTTAGATAAAGGGGGCACATCATAAGCACCCTGTTCGACTCCTTTGGGTGGTCAAATACACATACCTGTTTGGCATTCCGTTAAAAATTTTTTTCTATTTTTCTACAGGCAGACTTATTATTACACGTACACCACTCAACAGTCGCTAGATTGCAAGCAATTGGCAGTCTTTTTCTAGAACTTCACCATTTCTTCACGGAATACCATCAACCTTTGTTATGTCTGTGCTGTCTGTTAATTCAGTTTTATTAGTGATTGAGAAGGTCTAGTTCATATTCATTTCTAGTCTCTCAAATAGCTAAAATACGATTTGTAGTAAAATAAATGGCAGTAGAATTGGAACTCAAACTTGGCAAAATAATAATAATAACAGGGGCGGATCCAGAGATATTTTCTGACAGTCTTCCAAATTCTTCGTTGATCCCCCCCCCCCGGTCCGCGCTCACACACATTGACACGCGCGTGCACACACACACACACACACATAAAAAAAACATGCGTGTACATAATATTATGCAATTTTATTGAAAAGAAAGTAGCATTTTAATTTGGAGTCAAAGGTCATATACATCATGATCACTACATGTCTTCTAAAGTACAGTCACAACAATCTAGCTATGTATTGAGGTAAAAATACAAACTCCTAAATTAACCCATGGCTCAGTGCACAAAATACTTAATGGCTGACTACACATTAAGTAAAACCAAATAAAAATGTGTTATTCAAAATAAAAGGTACAAACTACAGCTTCAGTCTTTGGAGTCAAAGGTCATATACATTATAATTCATGTCTAGTCTTTTAAAGTAGTCACAACATCTTGCTATATGTATCAAAGTAAAAATGCAAACTCCTAAATTAATCCATTGTTCAGTGCACAAACTTTTTCATAACAGACTACCTAGTAAAACCAAATAAGAATATGTAAATCAGATTAAAGGGTACAAACCACAGCTTCAACATTCACTTGGGTAGTCAGTCTTGAAAAATATTTACAAGTCTCATGCGTCTTGGTTGTCTCCTGGCAAACAAGTCAATAACAGCATTGACATCAATCTCCATGTTGTAATGAACATGCAGGAGGGCCAGTCCATTGAGTCTATCCTGGGACATGCTGGAGCGCAGATAAGACTTGATCCTTCGAAGGGCAGATACTGATCGCTCACACTCACATGTTGTTGATGGCAAAGCACTTGCAATCTTCAGCAAAGTGGTTAAATTTGGGAACATGTCAGTGTCCACCAACTGAAGAGTTTTACTAATACTGTCTGGTGCAGAGGAAGGGTGTGATGTCCAGTATGTTGCCCACAATTTCATCTCAGCTGGTAGAGAATCAGGGTGAGGCAAATCATCAAAGTAGCACTTTGACATTTTGAGAATGTCTGCCTCCCAACTTGGCTGGGCTACTGCTACTGGCAGGATGGATCTTACAAATGCCACAGATGCTGCCTGGTTGTCCTCAAAGCGGGTAGTGAGTTCAAGTATCAGATTGTCCAGGAATGGAATAATAAGGTTTCTCCTGTAATATTCTTCTGTCGTGGTCGCTGGAGTATTATCCCTATGCCGCTGCCTTCCACAGGCCCTTGGCTTGGCTAGCACTATGTCTACTCTCGCAGCAAGTGTTTCAGCTTTCTCTAATAGCTCTGAACTAAGTTCATCCACTTTCTCCCTTAGAGATTTCAGTGTTGTAACTACAACTTGGGCGTTGGCATATGCCTGATGTACCTCTTCTTCTCTTCCCTGCAGTTTAGTAGTTAGCCCTCTTGTATACTGGAGAATGTCTTTGCACACTGCCAAAGAGAAAATAAAATCACTCTGTGTGACAGCATTGACCAAGCTAGTTGCTTTAGTGATGGTGTCACAGCTGCTGAGGGGATCAGTTTTAATGGTATCCAGGGCATCTACCACTGGCCCATACAGGTCATGGAGATTGTCCAGAGAATCCAGCCTTTCAATCCACCTACAAGAAAAATGATCATTTTATATAAGAAAGGCTGTATAAGCATTCATCTTTAAGAGGACAGTGTCCAAAATCCAAAAGCAAAAAAAAAACTATCTGATAATTAAGACATATATAATATAAAATTGTCACAGTATGACTAAATGTTTATTAAATGTAACGAAAGTCAGAAATAATATGAAAATGTTATAGTTAAATATTCATTAAATGTTGAACAAAGTGATTTAAAGTTATAATCATCTTACATATGTTTGGTATAATATGTGACTTAATATAATATGGATTTGCATAATTATTTTAGAATACCTAGTTCTACACTGGGCCTTTAGCTTGCTTATCTTTGATTCAGGCAGCATCTCCTCCACCGAAGCATCCAGTATACCTTGTTTTTTGGGTGAATAGTTAAAAAAGTTGGCCAATTCTGTCGTCACACCCAGGAAGTTTCTTATCATCTGAAATCATAATATATATGAAAATTAAATCAGTGAAATTCTTTCTGGGAACATGCTGATGTAATAACTTTCTTGAGCATATAACTAGATAAGGAATTAATGATGAAATTTAAATTGCATCAATTAGTTTTTCCTGTTTTGCATCAAGGTATTACAGCAACAACAACTTTAGTATACAATATATTTACCTGGATTGCACATGCCTTCATCACACACAGGTTGAGCTGATGGCTCAAGCAGTGGACATACACTGCCTTTGGGTATTCCGCTTTGATTCTTGCTGCAGCACCATTGACCTTGCCTGCCATGTTTCCTGCCCCATCATAACACTGTCCTCTGAAAATGGAAAGGCATAAATACATGTTTACATTTTCATACTTTTGTAGAATTCAAGCAGCTAATTGTTAAATCCTATATATTATTTACAAATTAATTATTTCAATGCCAAAAACAATTCTAAATTGTTTGAAAGTGTATGAAGGGAAGCAAACTTAACACAGGAAAATTTACTCTTTAAATGTTTTCATTCAGGCATTTTTACAACATTAATTTTTTTTAAATAATAGCTACAAAAACCCAGCAGCTTACCTGCACTTGTCCATGCTGAGTCCAAGATCTGACACTGTAGTCTGTATAAGCTTGGCAATTGCTGCTCCTGATATGCCCTCACCACACTCCTGGTAGCCTATGAAATCCTCACGTACCTTTCCAATGGACCCATCATAGTATCGGAGGACAAGTGGTAACTGCTCTTTGTTACTGCAATCTGTTGCTTCGTCTGCCATGATTGTGAAAAATTCAGCCTTCTTTACTTTCTCTGCAATCTTTGTAATAACAATTTCCCTGCAGCAGTCTATGAGTTCGTTTTGGATGGTCTTACTTCTGTATGTGGCATTCTTTGGTGCATCCTGGCAATGTGTCCCCAGGATGGTATCACCAGCATCAACTCGAAACTCAATTAACTTCTGAAAGTTCCCTGTATTGCTGCTATCGTCAAAAAAAGAACTGTCATCGCGATGCCCTCTTAGTGCCAAATTCTGTCTTCCACACAACAAAACCGTCTTCACAATAGATGCAAGTTTTGCCCTGTTTTCTGCCACTCTCTTAGCCAGTGCGTGGTCCAGCTGCTGAATAACCGGCACAGACTTGCTTTCCATGGAGTTTTTGAACTCCACATATGTTACCATGGCAGATTTGTGTACCTCGGATGTGCTGTCATGTTCTTTTAACTTCCTTAGCGCAGAAGTCCAGGTGGTGAGGGGACTTGTCATCAGCCTGTCCAGCTTGTGACTGTTCTTGCCAGCCTGGACCCCAAACAAAACACAAGGCAAACAGTATGCACCATCCTCTTTTGAAGAATATGCAAGCCAGTTAAACTGTTGCAACCATGCAGCATTGAATGCTCTCATCTTTCCATATTCCTCTTTCTTGGGGAACTCGTAGCGACTTGGTGGATACCATAGATTCTTGATGTACCTGATAATGAAAAGAAAAAAAATGAAGTAACTGGATAATTTCACTCTAGAAATGGTTTATCAAGTAACCACTCTGTTGTAAAAATTAAACAAGGCATATTATGTAAAATGTATTGTGAATTATTTTTACTAGTACAAAGACAAACCACACTGGACTGGCATGCAGAAAAATATTCAACACATTTTATTTATAACAACAGTTATTCTTTTAATCACACATTCAAATTGAAACAGGACACTAACATTAGTCATAACCTTTAAGTATACTTCAAGATTACAATTCAACAAAAAGATATCCTATCAATGTCCTATCAATAGCATTTCTATTCTTAAATATACCAGCAGCTTGCAAAATCAACATGTTGACTGACATAAAGGTAAGTGTATTAAGACAAAACTGGAAAATAATATTGCTGTTAGTTAAACAGTGAATGCTTGCTTGTGTCAGTGAATTGCAAGATTCAAAATATTTACCTGAATTTTTCTTCTCTGGTGAGTGAAAAATCCTGTTGTTTGCAGGAACTTACATCCCATCTTGTATCACTTGTAGTTGTTGCAGTAAGAGTTTCATCACCAGTTCTCACATCTACCTGGCACTCTGGTGGAATGACAATGTCTGCTGCATCTGAAATTTCAATGCGAATAAATATATATAATGTAAATATTTTTCAGAGTGTGCATCACATTTCTTAATAATTATCAATACAATTCAATCTACCATTATATAGTAAATCTACCTCAGTACGTACTAGTTGTGAAGATATGGTACTTTTTTCTTTACAAATAAACATTTATATAGGTTGTACCTTCACAGAGTTTCTGCTTCTTAATACCAAAATCAAACAGACTCTTGGGCCGTTTTCGACTCAATTCTTTTGACATTGTAGCCAAAAATTAACTTCTCCCAAAGAGATTCAATGACTGACTGGACATCCAGAAAAATGTCCCAATATTTATATGATCCTCTACTTACGTAACAAACTCAATTAAAACTGATCATAGACGACACTCAGGTAATAGTAATTGTTCATTTAAAAAGTAACTGTCTGTTATCAAGGAAGCCCTTGAATTATCGGTATTTGATCACTTAGGCACCGTTGCGTCCAGAGAGATTAATCTGATAACACGAACGAACAGTTCCAGAGTCAGTTGACATTATTAACTTTGATCATTTAGTACAGCCTGATCAAAGCTTCAACTATTCTACCCACCTTTAAATTCCCACTATTTAAACCTTCATTTTCGTTGGAAAAGCAAAATCTGTAAATATATACTATGAGTCCGTAATATCACATCATGCGGACCGCATCATGCGTACTGCATTTTACTAGTGCCGGTCAGTGCTACCTGCCAAGCTGGCACATTAGTAATGACAGATTGTTCAAAGAAAAGTTTATGAAAGTCAGTTCGTAAAAGCAAGTTTTATAAATATATAAAAAAGATTAAAAAGATTTACTTACCTTTTGTCAGACACTTCTCTTTTATGTACCAAGCTTTTCGTCAGCCATGTTTCTTCCACGGAAGTAATGCTGGAACATGCGCACGCTTCAAGATAGGCTGGAAGCGATCTCTTTTTCATGAAAGTTCGCAACCATGGTTTGACTCAGTTATTATAAATATCGATATAAAACGTCATAACAATTACATTACTTCCTGAAATAAGAGATTTAATGAAAAAATATTAAAGTGTACAGGTTGAGTCACTGTCGTTACCTGGGCTGGAGTGTGCGCCGGTGCGTAGTTAACAAGGTTAATTGTTTACAAGCTCTTGCGTACCCTGGCCCACTACCTGGTATCTTAATTGCATCAGCAATTAGTAAGCCGGTCAACTTGGGATAGATAATTAGGAAGACTGTCAGCTTTTCATATGATCAAAACCACAGGTAGCGACCTTCGTCTAATTACATCTACTGACACCAAAGTTTTTAACACGTCGTCCAGGAAGACCGTCATCGTAATCTTGAAAATCTTTGACCGTCTTCCGACAGGAAAAATACAATGCGGTCAATGTAAACTTGAAAAATTCTGACCGTCTTCCGGAAGACCCAGAAGACGGCCTGTATCCGCCCCTGAATAATAATAAATAAAAAAATAAAAACATTTTAGAACTAGCATTTACAGAATAAGAGAGTTTTCAGTTTCAGCATCTAATGGCTGCTTCTTCTGGAAATGTACCAATTGACTCCAAACTCATGAAGATGAAAGATGACCCTAAGGGTGACATCTGCCTATAATATTATAGGTTAGGTCTGTGTAGTGTCTGGAGAGACGTGTGAGAGGTGGAGAGACCATTACAGGATTAAGCGGTCTTCCTTTCATGTAGGTATGCCATATTTAGGTCGTGGCCTAGCTAGCATTCAGCTCTTCTCATTCTGATTAATGGTCCCTATGACTTTTAGTCAGCTATCTGTAGAAATTTTTCCCATAATTCCTTCAGTTTAGTAAAGTTAGCATTTAATTTTGCAATTTTTGGACAAGGGTTCATTGTGATGAGTGCCACACCTGGACACGTGCACTGACAAAGCCTAAAATTTAACTGGAACGAAATGAGATTATGTGTGACAAAAATCCAAGAGATGGGTACACAGGCCCTTGTAGTCTAGGAGAACCAGTAACGGTGAAATGGCTGCAGATACGGCAGAGCTGGCGGACGAGATGGATCAGAGCTAAAACCATATGTACTGCAAGCACCGCGCTGGTGGTACAATAATTTTCTTTTAATATATTTCACAACATTGTTCAGACTGTTTTATAAAATATAATTGTTCCAAACTTCAAGGTCTTCCACTATAAGAACCCACAGTACTCTCGTCTCTTTTTAAAACTTTAATTCAATTACAATATCACAGTGTATACAGAGTTGAACAAACAGAATAATTCTGAAAGAGAAATAAAATCATGATTTTGGCTGTCAACCTGTGATACACCAGCACCAATCAAATCAGTAACTTAAAATGCTGTCATGTTTCCAAATTCCTACAATACAATGACCTGTTATAAAATATAGAGAGTAACATTCTGAAACTAACTCTATCAATCCCTTGTCCCAGATAAATCCGTCTCCAGTATTCTATGATGTATTGAAGGATTTAAATGCAAATATACCAATTTCAATTCCAGCTTTATATAAATGTCCAGTCTTTAAGAAGTATTTCCTTCTATTTTTCCCAGTCTATTAGAAGTATTTCCTTGTATTTTTTCCAACTTGAAAATCAATCAATTCTTAAATAACTTAATACATATTACTTGATTAAACAATGACTTAACATAATAACAGCCTTCTAGAATAATTTATATAAGCTTTAAAAAGCATTCTATGAAAGCAAAAGATTATTTTGTTAATCAAATTTATAATTTCTGTATACAATTTGTTTTTTAGCAGTCAAAGCCAGCTAAAGTGTTCATCTAAGTCAATCATAAATCCCCATTTTCTTGCCACTGCATGCAATTAGCTCAAGTCACTCATCTGTTGAGCTGGTCCATTTTAGAACAGCAAATCTAAGAAATTACAATTCCTGAATATGTGATGCTATAAGAATTCCGTCATGAAATCCATGTAAAAGCCAGCTTTCCTTACAACACAGTTACTAATACTGCATCTTCAATCAATCCATTCACATATCAACTAGTTTTGAGTATATTGTCTAATATGAAACAAATCTTACCACAATAATGACATTTTACCAGAACATCATACTAGTCTAATAAAAATGGACTTACATCTTTCTATTGCACATCTCAAACCAAATCATACTTTGTGCTGACCACAAAATAAACAAAGATAGAAGTCCTTTCTTCAAACTAAAATGTGGAAACAGATGAGAGAGAGAGAGGGAGAATTTCCTGCTTTGTGGTGACTGTGGTTTCCATTTCCTTTTCTGTCACAATGAATCACATGCACACACACATCACTTAAACGGTAACTCAACTGACATAATGTGTTTTTTAATTGGTAACCTAACAGACAAAAGTAAAAAGACCAAATCTACTGAGCAGAATAAATGACTCCCAGAAAAAATGTCTGCCTGGCACCAGATTGGAATCCTATCATATAAATTGATTTCTGCTCTTTATATATATCCTTTTTACAATAGATGCGTGCTGAAGGCAGATCTAATCAATTATTCAAAATACTACAACCATACAGCTCACAGAACTTAAAAATAGCCCCTCACAATTCCCCGAAACTGTCGTTATTGCTTACACATTTTGGTTCAAATTACAACCCCGTCAACCCTGCCTATTGATAATTTTTTCCCTACAATACAAATATCAACTGAATGTCACACTGACAGTATAACTTCTCGAGATCAATAGTTTCCAGCTAGATAGCACATCAGTCTTAATACTAGGCATAAAACATGAAGTTCTATATCTTCAAGTGAACAGTCAGTGTCAAGGTCAAAGCAGTTCCCAAGCATAAATATGGACAGAGATATGGGTTCTGCCTGCCACTGTTCACTGTAACAGTAAGTGTATGTCACCAGAAGTGGTAGTTTAAGTGCAGCATATGGCAACATAGATCACAACAAGCACTTTTTAGATGTGTAATCTGTGAGTTCCTGTCCCCCACTAGGTCTGTGTGTACAGGTGAAGATAGCAGTGCTTCTCCTCCAGCACTGCCACCATTCTCCTGGTTGACTTCACCATACAGAATGGCATAAAATCTTGTGTATTACTGTATCATAAAATATCATAATAGGGTCTATGCATTATTTTTCCAACTACAATTGCTATGAAGGCTCCCATGTGGTTACCAGCTGTGTTCTCTGCATACAAATCTGGTGATTTACATTTTATGTCTGTCTCCACTGGAGCAACAACTACACTTGCGTTATATCCTGTATGTATCAAAAAGAGCCTTCATTTCACTTGCGTTATGTTCTACATATATCAATTAGATCCATCAAATGTTGTGAGTAGAGCTGCGTCCACTGGCTCCATACATGATGGACATGTGAAGGAACGCATTAACCAATCGTCTATACAGTCTTTGTGATAGATGTGCATACATGGCAGGTAGCGCAACTTGTCGCCAATGGAAAACTCCCCCATACATATAACACACCTGAAATACAGACAAGGTCTATGCAGTATTTGTAATACATTTGAAATATTTTCTGCAACTTTTTCAACAAGTATTTTTGCAATGACTTGCAAACGCTCCTGCCTGTATTTGTGTCTATTCAGAGGGAAGTGAACAAAAGAGAACTATGGAAAAAGAAAATTATTACAATGACATCCTCAGACTGAGGGTATTTCATTTCATTTGATGAATTAAATGCAGTTACAATTGCAATTAATCTATTTAAGAAAATTACTGACTATTTACATTTGATACCATTTCAAATATTATTTTTCATATTTATTACACAGAACGTGCTATATTACAAATGTGATAAAAGACATTCCACTTACTCTCTGGCCTTTTTACTTCCATCATACTCCCCACAAGGTAAATGCTGGATCAGTCCTATCCTCTGAGCTATCTTGATCTGTTCTTCCTCTGTCAGTAGGTGTGCTGGTCTGCTTATGTTGGGAGCTGGGTGATACACTGGTGCCGACTCCTAGATACATAGAGAAATACCCATAAAACAACAACAGCTTCAACAACAATATTAATACTTAACTAGTATCTCAGGTCTGCTAATGTTGGGGACTGGGTGATACACTGGTGCTGACTCCTGGATACATAGAGAAATATACACATAAAACAACAAAAACAGCTTCCACATCCATATTAATATCTGCAATTCTATAAAAAAGTGAGAAAACTTGACCCATATCATAAAAACAATCAGTAACAAAAATGTCCAGGTAGCTTCAATGCATAATTATAATAACTGCCAGAGACTAAATGTACTGGAAATACACAGGGGAGGTTCTTTGGCATTCTAAAGTCCTGAATAAAAAGCTGCCATAAACAAGACCTACTAGAGACAGTTGAATATTACAATATTACAAACAACATCAGTAATAACATTGTGTTATACAAGGTAGACATGACTGGTCAACCATGTATAACACAGTAAACATCACAATATTACAAACCACATCAGTAATAACACTGTGTTATATTGTGTTATACAAGGTAGACATGACTGGTCAACCATGTGGTTTCCCCACGCAACAAACACATGGTTGACTTGAGGCAAGTTCACACTGGAGATGGGCTGGCCCCACTCATACCACAATTCTTCCCTGGAGGTTGTCTGATAAAGTCTACAGCATGTGACACCAGTGTTCTCTCACTAGGCACTGCATGCTACTATCTGAACTAGTGGGCTTAGGTTTGCTGAGCACTTTGTGGTGACCAAGTAAAGAAAACCAAGTTAGTTTTATACCAGAAGGGTTGACCTATCTCTTATGTAAAGGCGCCTTAAGATGACCAGATAAGATATGATCTGTCACAAAGCTAAGTACACGTGACAGTAGACAATAAACTGCATGAGGGTCAATTCTGGGAAATAGTGACCAGGAAAAACTTGGACCGTGCATTTACAAATGTATAAATACAATAAATTCAGGTTCTTTAAATGAAGCAATGAAAGGTCACCAAATCTAAGGTTATATATACCCCATTTGCTTTCTAGGTCAGTCCACACTTAGCTTTTTGTCAATGTTACCTAAAAGAACTCCCCTTTCTTGTTGGATTTTCAAATGGCTTCAATTTCATTGCAGCATTTTTAAAGGTGTGCACTTAACTAAAACAAATAATTAAACAATCGCATTCTGAAATGAAAGGAAAATAAATAGGGTAAACTATATCATGACCCAATGGCTTGGACCCTGTAAGAAATTGGCCAGTAATCAATAGGTATATAGAGGCAGGAGGTTGCAAGGAGGGACTATTGACCCAGTTGATAGAAGCACTGGGTAAACAGCACCCCAGTGGTTTCTTCTATTTATCAGCAGATGAACTATTGATGCTTGGACTTTTCTTGCTAGAAAACTTGAAAATGTTACTAAAGGCCTCATCAATGATAATTGCCGTTTGTGATTCCAATCACTAAATTTATTTCTTGGAACTGCAATTTAATATTGCTTTCTATCAATTCCAACTTACAGCATCATCCTATTGTCTCCTAAAAATCTGTGAGGTAATGGGTTTTCTCTACTGTATAATATTTGCAATTATTTAAGTAGGAAGTTGTGAAGAATTTACACTATATGAGATTTCAAGTATTAAAAGGTTTTTTCTCTTTCTCTATTACTAAATTAAATGCAAAGGTTAAACTTCTTGAGATATACACCATAACCCAGTAAAGTGGGTTGTATATATATACTTTAGCAAGAATCAATCTACTATTTCACTGTGGATTAACACAAGAGTAATGCACTCTTGATAATCTATGGCACATACGAACATAGCACGTGAAGGGAACTTGTGGTTCATAGACAATAACACCATGCTTGGAGTCCGTATTGATACGATTGGTTTATTAAGTTGCAGTTCCAAGTCATTAATTCAGCAATCGAAATCAGTAATTTGAAGAACCAAGTCACAAATGACAATTTTCTATAAGGCCTGCACTAGGCATAAAGGTCTTGATAGGATCAAGTATATAAAGATGACACATAATCATTTTGAAATCTATCCACTTTGTTTAAGAATGACCAAAATAGTATGGGAAGTAAACATATAAAATGGCAACAAATCAATCATATTTTTCTTTTGTTGAAATCAGTGTCAGTGTTAGGAATTCATCATATCCTATCTTACAAAGGCATCTCTAAATCTGTCACCATATTTGCATAATTATATTATTGATCCTGATAACTGACGAGACAGAGCTTTGTTTGCTGATCTCAACTTTGCACTTTAGCACTGATGCTCTGTTTGGGGATAACACGACACAAAGCAAGCACATGGTTTATCTTAGTATTAAACTCTGTTGGTTTAAATGAGTTTCAAAAAAGTTCCTGATTGTTTATCAAATGATCTGACTTACGCATAATATAGATAAAGAAACAGGAAAGGCCAACATGACATAAAAACTACCATGTCATCGTCTGCATAATTTTGACTTATTTAAAAGAATTTAAGTCTTAAATTTATATAAATGTTAGATAACCTGAAAGAATATTTATCAACAAATATACTTTGCATCATACGAGGCAATACATTTGATTCACGTGAGAATATTCAAAGCGTGACAGAACAAAGAAAACATCCTGGATGCTGCGTCGTGGTCTCGTCTAGACACTTTTCATTACCTGATACGGTGGAGGGGGGCCCAACAAAGTTGGATCTTGTCCATCCACCGGACTATCGCCTCCTCTCAGGAGAGAAATGTCATCTGCTGTAGGGCTTTTCAAGCAATTCCCCATGTTTAAAAGTTTAACATAAAGCACCTTAGTAGTGTCAATTCATAATTACGCTGTTCCGAAGACAGCTGCTCTTCCAAACATTGATTGTGCCATCTCACGTCTCTTTTCTGCTTTCACCTAAACAAAGTAGGCCCAGTCCAATAAAAATGAATTTTGGTATATTTACAAAATTAGTGGATATTTCTTGTGATCATAAAAAATATTTATATCAATAATGACTGTATATCAACTACATAATTAAGATGGTATCTCGAAATATTTTTTTATTTTATCTGCGTATGGATATAATTTACGTCATTGACCCTTTAAGTAATAGGACTATCTTCAAAAACAAACAATGAGCTTAGTTTTGTATATAAACATTATACTTTATAACATCTAAGAAAATTGCTTATATTTCCAAATCATTATATCAAAATAGTGATTGTATCTAACCTTACTAACATCTGTAATCAACATAGCATGACGCGACAAAATATATTTTCGAAACTAGCGCTGGAATCAAGCAATGCCCTTGGCGGCACATACAACAGTTTACTTTTGCAGGCGAAACGATGGTAAATATTCTTCGTGAGCGAGGTGTGTAAATACTTCCTTGGCGAGATATAATAACTAGATAAGGTAATTATCGACTTGCAGTCAAGGTTTTTATGGTCCCTCCTGCAGTCTTAGCATGGCTTCACTGCGTGCATTTGTGCAAAGATAATTTATATTTTTTAATCTGTCCATTATTTATATGTGGACCCAGCCTTTTCGGATTTTGAAGTATGAATAATCTTACTGGATAAATGTAGTAATTCGTGTCAGCTATTTGATAAAGTGAAAGGATTGTGCATGATTTGAAGAGTCAAAATGTAACATTATATTTGTATTTTGTAGTAAGTTATAGGTACAGTTAAGGGTTTTCAATTAGTGTTGATTACGAATCATAAAGAAGACCAGTAATATTAATCCAATTGATGAAGACAGATACTTTGTATTTGCCATGCTGTTACTTTAAGGGATAACAACTCTTGGTATGAGATCTATATTTCACAATAAATACATTGTAAACAACACACAGAAATATAATATATTCTATTTTACCACAAAAACCGCAATTATAGCAATTAATCTGATATCTGTGCATGGCATCCGACCACATGACCTCCATAGATGGCTATACTCTGTAATAATCTCTCCAGAGATTATTACCAAAAAAAAAAAAAACTTTTGAAAAAAAAGAGGGATTAACTTTGAATGTAGAAATGGATTCATTATCCATTGGTGAGTATGGGAAAATTGCTGTTTACCCACAGGAAAGTTCATTTTTTTGGCAAAATGAACAGTTATTATCTCTTTAAACTAAAATAGAATAAATTCTTTAGTTTAAAAAGACATCTTTGTCCCAGTTTTATATTTTTGAAAGTCTTGGAGACTTAATAAAATGCACAGATATTCATAACACCCTTATCTGAGGCATCTGAGTAAACCTCAATGTGCTGGGTACAGGAGAGAGGAGGTTCACATGTGTTTGCAGTATATAACATCAGTATATTACTTTGTGTATCATAGCATATTGATGTCTGGCACTGTGGACATAGATGCAGACTGTATCAACACCTGGCTGCAGTCAACTATCAAGTGGAATGCCGGCCAAGAACTGCGCTCATTTAGTAAAACAGAAACAGCCAACTTTCTGCACAGCCTGAGAGAAAAACTGAAGCAACTCTTCTCTAGGAATGTTAGTAAATATTGTCTGTATTCTTTGTTTTGATTGTCTAGAAATGTTAGCAAATATTGCCTGTATTTTTTGTTTGATTTTCAAAAGGTGTAAGTATTATACATGTATACTGCCTGTATTTTGCATTTTGAATGTGGGTCAAAACACGGTATTTGAAATGTCTCTGACGGGACATTTTAGAGACAATTTTAAAAATTACAGTTGGTAAATGATCCACATGGTTACTTTTAAATACATTTTTATTTAGCTGGACCATAAAGGATTATGTAAAACAAGCAGCTAATTTGTATTGAAATAAATGTGGGAATGACAATCACTTAAAGGTCTGTCTCTGACGGGACATTTTTGACCCCTGTATTTTTTTACTAAAACTCCAATGCAAAATTCTCTTTGAAATTTCATTTAATCAAGACTTTTGTAATTCATATTGCAAGGTACAAGTCTTGGGAAGCAATTAATGCACAAACAGGCCAGTTTTGTTTACTTTCCTTGGCAGCATGGACTAGAAATATTAGAAATATATGTTGCCTGTATTCGGTGTTTTGATTGTCTATATATATTAATTAGTATTAAATATTACCTGTATTCTTTGTATTGATTAAAACAGGCTTTACATTTCTGATATATTGTAAATTACAATGAAGTGAAATGATTTAAGCAGTAAATATAAAAAATGGACATAGTTCATTCGTTTTGACAAATGATATGTTTTAAAATATTTTAAAAGCCACTTTTTGATACACTGTCTTGAATTGCTACAGCATATCTTTATCCATATTTCTCTCCCTCTCTCTTCTGCAGGGCAGCCTCCTGGATGTGCTGGAAAGTTGTCCCAATGTTGGGCAGTTGCTGGGTAGAATGTGTGGCAACAGCCTAATACTGTCAGACAGACAGCTCTACAGGGCACTCATCACCTGTGTGCTGCTCTTCAATGTGGACAGTCCACAGATGGCTCTAGAGGTCAAGGCTAAGCAGTGGGCACTGGTCAGTAGCATTAGTTAGGGTTGGTTGGTTGGTTGAGACAGTACTTGGAAACTAATGAGATATACATGTACTATATAATACTATAACATTGTATTTGTACAGGCTCTAAATCCAAAGGCTTTAAAATCAGAAGTAAAGAAAAGAAGACCAGTGATTTATCAAACTGATATAGATATCTTCCTGTTCCCAGGCCCAGGTGAGGAGTACAGTGAGTTTCTCTGTGGGAGACATGAAGTCCACATTGATGTCTTCAGTAGGCTTTAGACAGCAGGAACTGTGGGAGGAACTTCTGGCACAGGTGGGCAGACAGCATATACAGCTCCAACATTTGAAAATGGTCATCTTTTTATGTATAGACTCTGCTATTTTTTATCAGACGTATTAGTTTAAAAACCTAGTATTACTGCAATCCATAGTATTTTTAGCATGTAATTACTTGTACCAATATAAATTTCCAAAGTAGCTAGGAATTTGATATTCTCATATTGCACTGAACTTGCTGTTGTAAGTTTTATATTTCTACTGTCAGATTATTCTGTGGACTCCTTTAGGTACTCAAGGACGTCACCAAGCTTCTGACAGTGCCACTGAGAAAGTGGAGCTCAGAAAACAACTATTTCCTTCCTGTCTCAGTTCCCGCCAGGCTGACAGGCCCCATGCTGCACAGGGTGCTCAGTGTCACCAGTAGTATGCCAGTGACTCCTGCACTGTCTGCCTTGGTTGGTGAGATAGTGAAGTGGG